ATGTCTTCATTGACTGTCCATGACGTTAAAATACTAAATCCCTGGGATGTGTTTTAGTTGATTTTTGTCTCTGATGCATGATTTTTTATTATTAATTGTTTTGGCTTTTAACTAGCTGTCAGTAACTGCGAGTACTCTCAAATCGTACTTTCTTGTTTATTTGACCTATTGATACTAATTGTATTGTTTTTTGTTATTTAATGTTATTCAGGGTTATATCTGGTCTATATACCAGCTTTTTTAAGTGTTTGGTATAACTATAAATTTTCATTTCGTACTATGAACTTCAAAATTATTTATTTTGTAATAATATTTCCTTTCTCTATTGGTACTGTACACGTATACCTGACAACAAAATTATTTTCATTTACCTGTGTTTATAGTTATTGCAAATGGATGGTATTTTTGTTCGAGCATATTGTTTTTCTTTAATTGTTTAACATTTCTTACCGATATAACCTGTTACTTTTATTATTCTTCCCTTAGTTTATTTATTTTGTATTCAAAATTATTTATTTTGTAAAAATATTTCCTTTCTCTATTGGTACTGCACAGGTATACCTAACAACAAAATTATATTCATTTACCTGTGTTTAAAGTTATTGCAAACGGATGGTATTTTTGTTCGAGCATATTGTTTTTCTTTAATTGTTTAACATTTCTTACCGATATAACATGTAACTTTTTTTATTATTCTTCCCTTAGTTTATTTATTTTGTATTTACATTGTGACATAGGTCAAATTTATTTGTTCAGTGTATTTTCAATGGTGTTAATATGTCTTTTGATTGAGTTAAGCTATTTCAGTTGATATTTTATAGCGTGTCTTTCTATGTTGTGATGTTACACTATTGTTTCAGAAAAAGGGTGAAGGTTTGGTACCATTAAAACGTTTAAACCCGCTGCATTTGTTTGCACCTGTCCTAAGTCAGGAATCTGATGTTCAGTAGTTATCGTTTGTTGATGTGGTTCATTAGTGTTTCTCGTTTCTCGTTTTCTATATAGATTAGACCGTTGGTTTTCCCGTTTGAATGGTTTTACACTAGTAATTTTTTGGGGCCCTTTATAGCTTACGGTTCGGTGTGAGCCAAGGCTCCGTGTTGAAGACCGTACTGTGACCTATAGTGGTTTACTTTTATAAATTTTGACTTGGATGGAGAGTTGTCTCATTGGCACTCATACCACATCTTCTTATATCTATTTAACTTACATAATCTTGGCCCACAATATTCCACTCAAAACCAAACGAATTTGGGGAAAAGTAACATTTTTAAGATCATAATTATATGATGAGGGTGGGGTAACAAAATCGGCACCCCAATCAATTAAGTATTGAAGTGGCCCCCTGTAGGGAAATTAAAAGTTTTTCTAATGGTTGACCTGTGAAGGCCATACAGTGATCAATATTTGCCTCATTGACAATCATACACCATTTCCTTATTTTTCTATATTCTTATTGCTACCTTTTTTTCTTTGATATTATAGATTATCTGTTCCCTAAATAAGGAGGGGTGCTTACTGCTGCAATCCATCAAATTACTTAATTAAGATAGGAAAATTATTGCACATGCTGATAAAATAGAGAGAATCACAATGAATAATCTTTGAAGTTTTACTACGACTAGCACGTAAAAAAGTATAACTTGGACAAGTAGGACATATATATATTCAATTATGCATTACAAAATTTGTCAATTTATATGTAATGGATCCTTCATACCTTCCAGCATCAAGGGAACCAGTGGCCTTTTATAGCTGACTTTGCTGTATGGGCTTTGCTCATTGTTGACGGCTGTACAGTGAACTATAGTTGTTATTTTCTGTGTCATTTTGTCTCTTGTGGAGAGTTGTCTCATTGGCCATCATACCACATCTTCGTTTTTATATTAACTTGGTTAAATACTGTACTGTTTTTTTGTGGATTTTCGTTATTTTAAACAAAATTTTTTGTATTATTTAACAGACTATTTTTTACTGTGCCTTGCCTTTTGTTAAGTGGTAATAATTCTACCATACTTTATGATGATATTATCTGACTTACCTTTAATGTGTGATTTAATTTAAAATTTTCTCTGTTAAAGCATCGTAATGAATGCTCCCACAATGACCATGGTTGTCTAGAAACAACTATCTTCTGAAAATTATTTAAATCAATTTCTCGTATTTTCCATGTTTGCCATATTTCTCTAACGTCTACGTCCTCTATCTGTCTGACAGAGGCTAACCTATAATTATTCAGTAAGTAACATAGTAATTTAATAGTAAGCCATTTAAATTTAAACTTATTCTGAAGTTTGAGTCAGATTTTGAGTTTCAGATTCCATTTACAATTCAATTTAGAGTATGCGCTATCTAATCTATTTATTTTAATTGTATACACTATTCATAATAATATTTTGATGCACACATTTTCCATAATAAACAGTCGGCTCCTAGAAAGTGAGATGCTCTAGACGAATGCGATTCATGAAAAAAAAATTGTCAATAGTTCACATGTTTTTAATTATCACAAATGTGAGAAATTCAGAAACCATATATAAATGGAGCGTTAATTGACTCTGTTTATACATCTTTTTCCTTCTGAAATAACTGAAATAGTGTACAATTTTCTTGTGATGAAATACATAAATATAGGACAAAATACCTCCCAGCAGTATCTTGATCTTGGTCTTGATCCTGATGATCATCCTCAACAACATCGTAAAGATCGTCATCAACATCAAAATTATCTGTGTAGGTGCTGGTAATTAAATCTTCATATGTTCTAAAATAATATAACCCATTCACTACCACACACTTTATATTTGAGACATGCTAGCCTAGATTACAATCCTACCTTAATTGGCTACATCTTGTCCGTTACCTCCTGGTTTTACAAACGGTGTCCACCCTGTTATAGATTGTGTTAGTAACTACATCTAGTCCGTTACCTCCCAATTGTTTTCTTCCTCCATAGTCTAATGGCAAAATCAAAAGCTTAAACATTTTCTCCGTGTAGTCTTGTATGATGAGACTATATGATGATCTTCTGTCTTTCTCAAGATTTTCTTCTATAGTACTTCCAGCTGAGTCAGTAGTTTATTTTTGTATACCAATTGGTTACAATTGGCATTGGTTTGTTGTTCATTGACCAAGTATCTTCTGCAAATGTAACTTTAGTATTGGTTCAAACTGGTTAAAAAAAATTGTTCCCAGTTAGAGCAGATATCCTTCACGTTGAACAGTATTTGTATCTTTTTGAAGATAATATAAATTTTATCAACTAATTAAAGAAGTTGTGGAAAGTAATTTTAGACATATATATTATACTGCATAGACAATGTGTTCAATCACACCAGATAAATTTTCGGAACGTCGAAGAATGCCGTCTGGGGACACAGCTATGATGTTTCGATCATTGGCCGTAATCATGTGTATACCTTCCTCATAGTATGTAAGCTGTGGGAATAAAGCATGCATAACTTTTGAAAGCAATGTCGCCAGCGCATTTATTTCATTTTCTGTACCATGTTTCATTTGTATTGGTTTACTCTCCTTCTCTAGTTGCTGGATTGGTGTGGTCTCTTTTCCTAGTTGTCTTTTCTGTTTGTACTGGCAATGCTATATTTTCTGTCATTTTTTGGTGTCAAATTGTTTTGCCTCTTTCTCATCTAAGCGTGCTAGTGGTACAGATATAGTGTCCATGTTTTGTGGTTCCATTGCAGTATGACTGTTCTATGTGGATCGGTAATTTATGCAACTCTTGCTATGGAGTTCACAGGCGGTACCAGTCCAACATGTCCTTGAACCCTAGGTAATGTTTCTCCATTGATGAAAAAGACTAATTTTCAGCAATCTAGAATAACATTTGCTCTGACTAGAAAATCAAGTTCTAATAGCATGTCATTATCAATTGGTGCAACATAAATGTCTGTCCTATATGTTCTTTCACCAATTTTCAATTCTACTGGTCCCACTACAAACGCATCCATGTGCATACCACGCCCTGCTGCATGCATTGTTGTTTTTCTTTTGATGGGTGGTTTTTTACTAAAAGATTCGTAAACTTTGTCAGAAATTATTGTTTCTTCTGCTGCGGTATCTACTACTGACTTACTGTCCCTAATCTAAGCATAGATGCTGAACCTAACTGGCAGATAGTTCCTCCTAAGTGTATCCGATCTTGCATTTGAAGGTCAATTAGTCTAAATTAATATCAGGCTCCGTTGAGTGCAATGGTGAATTAGACAAAGTACATGTATCTGTAAATGTTGACATGTCACATGTTTTAACGGGGTAATCCCCGAAACAGGTGTCTTGTGAATTTCGTTTAAAATAGTGTTCAATGTTAGGCGGTTAGGTGTGGTCTGAGTCAGGGTTCCGCCCCTTTGTCCGACTCTTTCTGGTTTAAAGGATCTGTATAACTATTTCCTGTCGTTGAATGTAATTCAGTACAACCCCGTTGTATGTGTCCAAACTGATGACAGAAATAGCAAGCCATATTTGCTAATTTTTCAGGTGGTATAGGTCCCCAGCGCCTTTTAAATGGGGATTGTCGCCGGTTATCTTGCTTATAATTGATGTGCATTTTTTAATAATTCTTCAATAATGAGAAATAACTTTACCATCTGATGCGGCAATATTAGGAATTATCTTCCTCAAGTTTGCCAAGTTAATGTCCTCAATGTCTATAGTTGGCAATCCTAAAAAAAAAGGCATAAAATTAAATGCAAAAAAGCAAATGATTAAAAAGATATCATCTATCTATATTAAATAAAATTACAGGAAGCTTATTTAAATTAAACAAAAATGTGAAAAATTACATATATTTATATCACCTTTCATAATCAAACTTTAAACATCAATGTTTTTTAAAGCACTACAAAAATTATAATTCTGGTAGCATTATGTTTTGTTGATAAGCACAAAATTTCCTTTATTTGGTTCTTGTATTGATACAGCATATAACAAACAATGTGCAAGTTATTACATTATATACAAAATTAACATACCAACAGGTACTAATGCCATTTCCTCTCCATTAAAATTCCATCCCTTTCAGCATATTGCAAAAATTTATTTATCACATCCACATCTGAACCAAATGGTTTCATGAATGAAGGACCTAAAATATTTCATTAATATGTAGTTGAACTAAAAGTTAAAGTAAGTAGATTTTCCCCTTGTTTTCCTTAAAGATATAATGTATTCATAATATAAAAAGTCCCATTTTTCACAGATGATGATGTCCTTACATGTTTTACTCTGAAAAAGGGATTTATGACTAAAATTCAGGAAAAAAGTATTTCGGTAGGAATTTTTTGAAACAAAAATTTCTAATGCCACTCCATATAACTTTCCATTCGATCATATGCATCCATAAAATACTCTACAATCCGCAATTTTAAATAATGTTAATATATTTTTAACAAAGTCTACTAGCAAAACCAGAACTTTTAAAACCCGCATTACTTCTGTTTCAAATCAGAACTGATGTTAACATTTCAAAAAAAATTTTAATAACATTAAAAGTACAGAGAAAAAATAATGAATTTACCTGCAAATTTCACTGTCTTGCTCTTTAAATCAAGTTTAAGGCAAACAACAACTTCATATTTGGCAGCCCATTCTTTAGTCTTTAAAAATAAAAACATTTTTTTAGTGTTTTCCAAAACATCCACATAAATGTGACTTTAATAACAATCAAAAATAATACACTAGCATTAAATATACAATGATTTTTAGTTATACACTGCAACCATTTAGCAAACAATTGAAATACATTAGAAAGGAGTTCAGGAATATAGCTCCCTTAATTTACAAAGGCTGGTATATATCTAGAATTAAGGCAGGATATCAAGGGAGACTAATCTTACTTCATAGTAAAATCAATGGTACAGGTGATTTGATTATAAAACCGTCTCATTTCATTCATTTCCGTAAGAGTTTTAATTTGTCAGTAATAAGACAATTGAATTTAACATTCCAATTTGAAGTATCCAACTAAAGTGCAAGAAGTCACATAACAGAAATAAAAGATAACATACCATTTCTTGTATCTTGGTCCATTTATCTTTCTTTACAAAAGAAGACATCTAAAATCAAAATGAACATAGAACATAAAATTTAAAAAAATCACCAATTATAATATTCACATAAAATAATATATAATGGGAAAGTCTGAACAAAATTTATTTGACTATGTTTTCTTACATTACTTTTCAAATGTTTCAAAAATATTTTGCTAGTCAATTGTCTCTAATCTGGACCCTACTTGCTATCAAATTAACAGTATTCTACATAGTTTAAATATTTGACAAACAAATAACAATTGGTGTAGTTCTCTCCTGCAAAGGCGAATACATCAAACAAAACTATGCACTGTGTCAAATAACTTAAATCAACTTGCTAAGAACACGCTTATCACAACGCTAAAAAGAATCCTAAGGAGAACACTGATTAAATATTTAAAAAATTAAAATAAAATTAAAATAAATAAAATCCGATGCCTCGTGTAAAGAGAGTGCCACGCTCTTTGCACGTTAAGAACCCTTGCACCAACTCTTTTGAGGGGTCCGTAGGTGACCTGTTGCAAGGCTAAATTTCTGTCCCTATCCAATATACCCTCATTTCCCGTGGCAGTCTAAATTTCTCCGACCTTAATCCCGGAAGCCCCTGTTAATGAACCTATCTATTGTATTTATTGTTAATTTGTTCTCGTCCTGAATATGCATGAAATATTTGCCACTGGACGTTAAGCAACCAACAATCAATCAATCAATCTTCTATGGGGTTTAATTTTATGAGTGTGTTCACTTATATTAATTACAAAAATGAAGACGTTTTGTCAAACATCCATATTACGGATGTAAAAGCACAGGCTCTGTTTTCATTAGAAACACTTTTCATAATTTAACATTCAGAAACTGATTCACGTATACATTTACGTGCAAAATATTGTTTTACAGATTTGATTAACATTATTATCAATAATGTCTGACTAACAGAAAAGGTAAAGTAAAATGTAAATAAATGCGAAAAAAAACCTCTTTTATTTATTTGACGAAATGTAGTCTTTTAGTCTGTTTTGACAATTCATTAGTTATTTTTGCACGAATCGTTAACTGACTACAGTCGAAGCAGTTGCCAAAAAATGACTTAATCTTTTTTCTCAACAAATTTCTTGAACTGAATTAAAGTCAACCAGTTCAAAGCTTACCAACAAAGAGGTGGACTGAATATTCTCAAAAAAGTAAAAAGATTTATGTTAGCTAAATTCAATCAGTAAACACAGAGTGTTATTGCATGAAGTAAAATCACAAAAATACTGAACTCCGAGGAAAATTCAAAAAGGAAAGTCCCTAATCAAATGGCAAAATCAAAAAAACAAACTCATCAAACGAATGGATAACAACTGTCATATTCTTGACTTGGTACAGGCATTTTCCAATGTAGAAATGGTGGATTGAACCTGGTTTTATAGCTAGCTAAACATCTCACTTGTATGACAGTCGCTTCAAATTCCATTATATTGACAACTATGCGTGTTTGTTTCCATTAGAATGCAAACATTGGGCCAACCTGTGTTTTTTATTGACATCATAAATCAAAGTTTACGATAACACATTACCAATGCCCCAAACAAGGTGATAAACAGTAAATAAACTCATCATAGATACCAGGATTTAAATATTGTATCAGCGCCAGACGCGCGTTTCGTCTACAATTGACTCAACAGTGACTAAGTGACAATATCACATAGAAATATACAGTTTACACGTTTCGACTGCTCAAAAAGAACAACCTAGATTTTAAAGAAGTATGTAAAGTAAAGTAAATATGCATGGCATTGTCTGTCCATTCTTCAATAATGGCTACCCTGGCAACCGAATACCATTTTGGAGTAAAAACTGTTGTTATTATTGAAAGATAATAATGTTGAGAATGAAGGTGTATGTGTAGGTATTGTAGAGAGAACCACATGTTGATGTTGTGAAAGGTAGTGATGCTGATATTATGGCTGTGCGGGATGTATCAAGTTTGCAGGTACGTCCGGTAAGAATGGGGACGTTTAAATCCGATGCCTCGTGTATGGCAATCTATTAAGAATCTTTTATGATGAACTAGAGACAAAGTTGAAGTGTCGATGTATTCAAACTTTATTAAAAAATATAAAATATTAACTGATATCAAAACATAAATTACAGAGGTTTTGTCATACGTTCTTGCCCAAGACTAGATTGATTGTTGTTTGCTTAACGTCCAGTGGTAAATATTTCATGCATGTTCAGGACGAGAACAAGTTAACAAAAAATACAATAGGTAGGTCTTGTAATAATAGAGGCCATACTGGATGATGGTCGGGGAAATTTGGACTGCCACGTGAAAATGAGGGTATATTGGATATGTCATACTCTTGTTGGTAGAGACAATCATTGATTAATAATCTTAGAACATCTCATGCCCTTCTAATAATCGATCTCTATTCTCGGTAGATATAGGCGAGCGCCGATTTGAGAAAAAGCCTCTCGTTAAGGTTTTTAATGCACCTATCTAACACACAGCTAATTTTGGTATCAATTGAAAGAAAAACTTCTAGAGCATACGATTTGGGTGGTCGTCAAAGTTCCCTATGGTCACGTTTCTTGCAAATCTCACGAGAACACAGACATGTCGAAATACTTTGGATTATACGGTGACATTTAACATTGAATATATCGGCATTGTTGTAAATATATTATTCATTTTTATCTAAGATAGCTTTGACTACATTCTAAAAAGACATCGAATCCAAAAAAAAGAAGATTTTATGAAAAATTAGTTAATTCAGAGTCATCTGTCAGACCAACTCTCAAATGTAAAAAAAATACCATATTTTTTAAGATTGTCGGTGTCAATGACTTATTAAAACTCTCATATGTTTTGTTTTTATAAATTCCATATACCTTGAAAAGATTGCGACACACATCGAAGCTCAATGATGGATAATAAATGTTTGACGACTTCTCTAAAATCTGCATTATTAAACGGTATTCCGGATCTGTATCGTGTTCATCCCAGACGCTCAAAATTTATATAAATCGAGTATCTAATATGCACAGGTAACATTTGAGTTGCCAAAACACAAGTCGTGTTTTAACATATTACTAAATAGATATTCGTATATGTGTTAACGAAAGACCATTTTAAGCATTACTAACGATATTGGTATGTGATATGTAAGCAGCAGACTGCATTTTGTAGAATAGTATATTCTTAAATATTATCACAATTACTCATCATGGATGAGTGTCTAAGTCCTGTGAAATGTGCGCCACCTCCAATGAAGCGCGGTCGCATGTCCATAAATTGGCAACGCTGTATAATATGTCAAAATATTACACAAGAGACTCTCAGTATGACAACTGATAGAGGTTTTACAACCTTAATGAATGCTGTAAGGCAAAGACAAGATGATGTGTTTAGGTTGTTTTTGAGTGAGGTTGATACATTAGATGACATTATTATGAACAACATAAAATATCACAAAACTTGTTACAGGACATATACAAGCAAACACAACCTACCGTCTCCATCAAGTCGTATATCTGCTGCAAAAGTTCAGCAACAGCAGTCTCAAGCAGAAACTACAAGTTCATGTTCATCTCCAAATATCCTTACTAGATCTAGGCTATCACAAGATTTTTTGTGTTGTATCTTTTGTAAAAACAAGACCTTTAAAAAAGATCGAAAACTTCATCGTGTTTCCTCGTCTATGAGGGTTCAAAGCCTTTTTGAAACAGCAACTAAACATGCTGACAATGAAATGCTCTTTCAAATTGCAGATAAAGATTTCACATCAAATGCTTTATATCACTCTGGTTGCATAACAAAATACCTTTTGCGAGAAAAAGAAATTAAAGCAGAAACCAATGAAAATAATACTGGTACCATGTACGATAAAGCATTTACCTCATTTGTTGAGTCTATCAGCGAAGAATTGTTCGTTCACAAAGTGGTGTTCTCCTTGTCTTATCTCCTTTCTAAATATAAATCATTTCTGCCAGAAGACGTATCATCTAAATACACTTCTTATAGACTTCAACTCAGATTAAAAAATCACTTTCGAGAACATATTGTGGTTGATGTAAATCACGGTCAAGGGGAGTCTAACTTCGTATATAGTAGTTCTCTCACATTGCCCGAGGCAATTAGAACTGCTATTCGTTTCAAGGCCGAAACAAAGTTTACTAAACTGCAGATGTCTGCATGCACTTCAAAAAACGACCAAACCGACGAAAACCAAATATTATATTCCGCTGCTTTAATTCTCAGACGTGAGATTAAAAATGCCGTTGTCCCTATGGATACTTATCCTTCAGTTGATGAAATGTCTTTATCGAAATCTATAGAGACCGTGCCTTCTGTTTTGACTGGCTTTATAAATTGGCTTATCGATGACTCTCACAGCCAAGTAGATATTAAAAACCATTTATCTGACATTCCATTTGAAAGTATAAGGAAAAGCTTAGCTTTATCTGAATGTATAGTTTCATTGCACAAAAAAGCTTTATCACCCCTTTACATTGGCCTTGCATTACAGTTACATCATATGCATGGTTCGAAAGCTTTGATCGAGACATTACATTCGCATGGATTTTGTGCATCATATCATGAGGTAAGGCGATACCTTACAAGCCTTGCGTGCTCTGAATTATCTCAAGTTCAAAACAATACATACATCCCCAGTGGAGTTCGCCAATATAACGGCACAGTCTCAGTCATACATGAAGGAGCTGATAATGTCGACATCAATGCAGAAACAGTTGATGGAAAGGATACTTTCCATTCAATGGCAAGAGCGGTATTCCAGGTATGTGAGGAGATAAATGGTGAAACTGAGCATCTGGAACACCAAAAAGTCGCCCGAGGTCGCATAAAAACCCTGCCAATAGACGAGAAAGTATTTTCCCTTACCACATGTGCTCCCTTTACAAAGCCGAAGCAAAGAGCTGAACCTAGCCGCAAGAGTGCGTGTGTACTTCCCTATGCTGAAACCTCTGATCTTATCTGGGTGCTCCTTAGAAATTTATCAAGGACTATTGTTGACCTTCCATACAAACAACCTTCGTTTGAAGGACAACAAATTCCATTCTGGACTGGATTCAATAAGCAGATCTCGAATATTAGTACCACTTATCATGTTGTCAGCTATCCGCCAAT